GCACTTAACCGCTAAGTCACGGGGCCGGCCCCTCTCCTGTCTTCTTGATAATAGTCATTCTGACAGGAGTGAGGTGATATCTCATTGTGGTTTTGATTTGCATTTCCCTGATGATTAGCGAGGTTGAGCATCTTTTCACGTAGCTGTTGGCCACCTATATGTCTTCTTTGAAAAAATGTTCAGATCTTCTGCTCCTTTTTTAATTGGATTGTGTTTTTGCTATTGAGTTGTAAGACTTCTTTATATGTTTTGGGTATTAACCCCTTATCAGATATATGGTTTGCAAGTATTTTCTCCCATTCGGTAGGTTGCTTTTTCATTTTGTTGATGGTTTCCTTTGCTATGCAGAACCTTTATAGTTTGATGTAGTCCCATTTGTTTATTTTTGCTTTTGTTCCCTTTGCTTTTGGTGTCAAATCCAAAAAATCATCACTAGACCAATGTCAAGGAGTTTATTGCCTTGGTTTTCTTTTAGTAATTGTCTTTTCTTTTCTTTTCTTTTTTTTTGGTGAGGAAGATTGGCCCTGAGCTAACATCTGTTGCCAATCTTCCTCTTTTTGCTTCAGAAAGATTAGCTCTGGGGCTGGCCCCGTGGCTTAGCAGTTAAGTGCGCGCGCTCCGCTACCGGCGGCCCGGGTTTGGATCCCGGGCGCACACCGATGCACCGCTTCTCCGGCCACGCTCAGGCCGCGTCCCACATACAGCAACTAGAAGGATGTACAACTATGACATACAACAATCTGCTGGGGCTTTAGGGAAAAAAAAAGAAAGGAGGAGGACTGGCAATAGATGTTAGCTCAGAGCCGGTCTTCCTCAGCAAAAAGAGGAGGATTAGCACGGATGTTAGCTCAGGACTGATCTTCCTCACAAAAAATAAATAAATAAATAAATGACTTAAAAAAAAAACAAAACGAAAGATTAGCTCTGAGCTAACAGCTGTGCCAGTCTCCCTCTGTTTTGTATATGGGACGCCACCATAGCATGGCTTGATGAGTGGTGCATATGTCCATGCCTGGGATCCGAACCCACAAACCCAGGGCCACCAAAGCAGAGCGTGTGAACTCAACTACTATGCCACCGGACTGGCCCTCTTGTAGTAATTTTATGGTTTCAGGTCTTTCAAGTCTTTAATCCATTTTGTGATGATTTTTGTGTATGATGTAAGATGGTAGTCCAGTTTCATTTTTTTGCATGTGGCTGTCCAGTTTTCCCAACACCAATTTATTGAAGAGACTGTCTTTTCCCCATTGTATATTCTTGGCTCCTTTGTCATAAATTTTTGTGTGTGTGTGAGGAAGATTGGCCCTGAGCTAACATCTGCGAATCCTCCTCTTTTTTTTTGCTGAGGAAGCCTGGCCCTGGGCTAACATCCATGCCCATCTTCCTCCACTTTATTTATTTTATTTATTTATTTATTTTTTGTGAGGAAGATCAGCCCTGACCTAACATCCATGCTAATCCTCCTCTTTTTGCTGAGGAAGACCGGCTCTGAGCTAACATCTATTGCCAGTCCTCCTTTTTTTCTTTTTGCCCCAAAGCCCCAGTAAGTAGATAGTTGTACGTCATAGTTGCACATCCTTCTAGTTGCTGTATATGGGATGCGGCCTCAGCATGGCCGGAGAAGCGGTGCGTCAGTGCACGCCTGGGATCTGAACCTGGGCCGCCAGTAGCGGAGCACGCGCACTTAACCGCTAAGCCACGGGCTGGCCCCATCTTCTACTTTATATGGGACGCCTCCACAGCATGGCTTGCCAAGTGGTGCGTCGGTGTGCGCCTGGGATCCGAACCGGCGAACCCCGGGCCGCCGCAGCGGAGCACGCACACTTAACCGCTTGTGCCACCAGGCCAGCCCCCTTTGTCGTAAATTAATTGACTATATTTGCGTGGGTTTTCTGGGCTCTCTATTCTGTTCCATTGATCTATGTGTCTGTTTTTATGTCAGTACCATACTGTTCTTTTTTTTTTTTTAAGATTTTATTTATTATTTATTTTTTTCCCCCCAAAGCCCCAGTAGATAGTTGCATGCCATAGCTGCACACCCCTCCAGCTGCTGCACGTGGGACTTGGCCCCAGCATGGCCGGAGAAGCGGCGCCTCAGTGCGTGCCTGGGATCCAAACCTGGGCCACCAGCAGCGGAGCGTGCACACTTAACTGCCAAGCTATGGGGCCGGCCCAATACCATACTGTTTTTATTACTATAGCTTTGTCATATAGTTTGAAATGAGGAAGTGTGATGCCTCCAGCTTTATTTTTCTTTCTCAAGATTGCTTTGGCTATTAGGAGTCTTTTATGGTTCCATGTAAATTTTAAGATTGTTTGTTCTATGTCTGTGAAAAATGTGGTTGAAATTTTGATAGGGATTGCATTGAATCTGTAGATAGCTTTAGGTAGGGTGGACGTTTTAACAATATTAATTAATTCTTCCAAGCCACGAGCACGGAATATCTTTCCATTTATTTGTGTCTTCATTTTCTTTCATCAGTGTCTTATAGTTAGTTTTCAGTGTACAAATCTTTCACCTCTTTAGTTAAATTTATTCCTAGGTATTTTATTTTTTTTATACAGTTGTAAATGGGATTGTTTTCTTAAATTCTCTTTCTTACAGTTCATTACCAGTGTATAGAAACACAACAGATTTTTGTATGTTGGTTTTTGTATCCTGCAACTTTACTGAATTCATTTATTAGTTCTAACAGTTTTTGGGTGGAGTCTTTAGGGTTTTCTATGTACAGTCACACACTGCATAATGACATTTTGGTCAATGACAGACCGCATATACGATGGTGGTCCCATGAGATTATAATGAAACTGAAAAATTCCTATTGCCTAAGGCGTCTGGAAGAAGACGCTCAAGAGGTTCATCCCTGACTTAAGGGATTTACCAAGGATGAGGAGGTTGCAAAAATCAACACGGCTGTGGTTGAGATGGCAAACAGCTTGAACCTGGGTGTGGGTGAGGCTGACATTGAGGAGCTCCTAGAGGTGGTTCCTGAGGAATTGACTAACGAGGAGTTGTTGGAAACGGAACAGGAGCACGTAGCTGAAGAAGAGGCAAGAGAAGGGGAAACTGTGGGAGAAGAACAACCTCCAAGAAAATTCACAGTGAAGGCTTTAGCAGAAGCTTTTGCAGACCTCAACAAACTCCTAAAGATTTGAAAACACAGACACCAATACCAAAAAGTTTTCACTAATAGAGAGGAATATTCACAGTGCATTATCTGCTTACAAGCAAATCTATGATGAAAAAGAAACACCAAGCAAACCACCATGGACATATATCTGAAAAGAGTGACATCTCCTCAAGAAGAGCCTCAGGTAGGTCCTTCAGGAGGTATTCTAGAAGAAGGCATTGTTATCATAGGAGATGACAGCTGCATGTATGTTAGCGCCGCTGAAGACCTTCCAGTGGGACAAGATGTGGAGATGGAAGACAGCATATTGATGATCCTGACCCTGTGTAGCCCTTCCTCTCTATTAGTGAAAACTTTTTGGTATTGATGTCTTAGTTTTTAACAAAGAAGTTTAAAAAGTAAAAAAATAAAAATAAAAAACTTTAAAAATAGAAAAAAGCTTATAGAATCAGGATATAAAGAAAAAATATTTTTATACAGCTGTACAATGGGTTTGTGTTTTAAGCTAAGTGTTATTACAAAAGAGTCAAAAAGTTAAAAAAAATTAAAAAGTTTATAAAGTAAAAAAGTTACAGTAAGCTAAGGTAATTGATTATTGCAGAAAGAAAAATGTACTTTTTATAAATGTAGTGTAGCCTATAGGTGTCCAGTGTTATAAAGTCTCCAGTAGTGTACAGTGATGGGCTAGGCCTGCACTCACCATCACTCACTGACTCTCCCAGAGCAACTTCCAGTCCTGCAGGCTCCATTCATGGTCAGTGCCCTCTACAGGTGTACCATTTTTTATCTCTTATAGGATATTTTTATTGTACCTTGTCTGTGTTTAGATACGTTTAGAAACACAAATAGTTACCATTGTGTTACAGTTGCATGGAGTATTCAGTACAGGAACATGCTGTAGGTTTGTAAGCTAGGAGCAGTGGTCTATACCACATAGCTTAGGTGTGTAGTAGGCTATACTGTCTAGGACACTATGATGTTCACACAATGATGAAATCACCTAATGATGCATTTCTCAGAATGTTTCCCCGTTGTTAAGTGACACATGACTGTATAGTATCATGTCATCTGTAAATAGAGACAGTTTTACATCTTTCCAATTTGGATGCCTTTTATTTCTTTCTCTTGCCTAATTGCTCTGGCTAGGACTTCCAGTACTATGTTAAATAAAAGTGGTGAGAGTGGGCATCCTGTCTTGTTCCCAATCTTAGAGTAAAAGCTTTTAGCTTTTCCCTGTTCTGTATGATGTTAGCTGTGGGATTGTCATATATGGCCTTTATTATGCTGAGGTCCGTTCCCTCTTGTGCCCACTTTGTCAAGAGGTTTTATCATGAATGGATGTTGAATTTTGTCAAATACTTTTTCTCTATCTATTGAGAGGATCATATGATTTTTATCCTTCATTTTGTTATTGTGGTGTATCACATTGATTGATTTGCAGGCATTGAACTATCCCTGCATCCCTGGAATTAATCTCACTGCATCATGGCTTATGATCTTCTTAACGAATTTGGTTTGCTACTGATTTGTTGAGGATTTTTGCATCTGTGTTCATCAGGGATATTGGCCTGTAATTTTCCTTTCTTGTAGTGTCCTTGTCTGGTTTTGGTATCAGGGTAATGGTGGCCTTGTTGGACATGGGACAAGGAGATGGCCCTGTGGCTTACCCAGCATCGAGGGTCCAATCCCACTGGGGCTGCCCCTCAGAGCTCCCAGGGCAGAGTGACCAGGGCTGGAGCCGAGACCAAGACTAAGATGCTGCCCAGCATGGACACAGCCCAGCATTACCAAGCTGGCCTCTAAATGGGGGCATTTAGAGTTCTTTGAAAGGTTTTCTGGAGTGGAAGACCCTTCACTGGCCACATCTCCTGAAAAGCTGTCTATTCAGCTGGGAGCCCAGAGCCAAACCCCTGCCTTTGGCCTAGACACGGCCTTGTGTTTAAGGAGCGTGTCTGGGGAGGCCCCATGGAGAGTTCTTCTCCACTCAAGGAGCTAGGAGGCTGGCGGAGCGTGGGCCTCACCTCCCCTGGGGCCACGTTGCTCACCTCCTGGGAGCTTGTGTCTTGCATGCCCAGTGCAGCAGGCAGCCTCCCCGGCTGACTTAGTGTCTCCTGTGCTTGCCTAGGAACAGGCCGGGCCCTTGCCATGGGGCACTGTCGCCTCTGCCACGGGAAGTTCTCCTCACGGAGTCTCCGCAGCATCTCTGGCAGGGCACCTGGGGAGAGCTCAGAGAGACCACCCCCGGGGGAGCATGTTTTCGTCAGGGACTTCCAGCGCCTGTTAGGGGTGGCAGTCCACCAGGACCCAGCTCTGTCTCAGTTTGTCTGCAAGAACTGCCACGCCCAGTTCTACCAGTGCCACGGCCTCCTCAAGTCCTTCCTGCAGAGAGTCAACGTCTCCCCGACGGGCCACCAGAAGACTTACACAAAGTAGATGCTCCCTCCTTCATTCTGTGGGTGTTCAGGGGCTAAGCACCCTGTGTGCTTGGGCTGTTCTAGGCACAGAGAGTGCCTGATGGGGACCTGTGCAGTGGGGAGACTCGTGTCAGGTGCAGATGTGTATAAGCACCAATGCGACTAGTGTGAAGGGAGATGGACAGGGAAGATGTGGGGAGGTGAGGGCCGCGAAGGGCTCTGAGTGTAAGGAGGCAGCCCTTGGAAGAGAAGGGTCAGCCCACATGTGGGAGAGGCGGCCTGTGAAAGGAGTGTGGTGAGCCTGGGTCCTGCTCACTGCCTGGCCCCACTCATGGCCACGCTGATCCTTTGCAGGGTCGGTGCCCAGCCCCCAACAGTGGCAGAGGAGGGAGCCTGTCTGGGTGAGTGCGCCCCCGGTGTGTGGTGCGTGGGTGGGCTCTTGGTGGGCTGGGTGCTGACCAGCCCCGGGACTGGTGTCTCTATGCCTTTCCTCAGTGGACCTGATCACTTCAAGCCCCCAGGGCCTGCGTGGCTTGGTGGGGTGGGTGCATGGACACGCAGCCAGCTGCGGGGCCTTGCCCATCCTCCAGAGGACGCTGTCCTCCGAGTACTGCGGTGTCATCCAGGCCGTGTGGGGCTGCGACCAGGGCCATGACTACACCATGGACGCCGACTCCAGCTGTGGGGCCCTCTTGCTGGACAGCGCATTGGCAGTCAAGTGGACATGGGACAAGGAGACGGCCCCGTGGCTTACCCAGCATCTAGGGTCCAGTCCCACTGGGGCTGCGCCTCAGAGCTCCCAGGGCAGAGTGACCACGGCTAGAGCCGAGACTGAGACTGAGACGCTGCCCAGCATGGACACAGCCCAGCCTCCTTTGGATGGCAACCCTGTGGGGCCTGGGCCAGGACCCCCGCCTCAGCCAAGCCTCCCCCTGAGTGGGGCCCCAGGTAGGAGGCTCCTCCAGTCTGTTAGAACAGGATTCCTAATTCTGAGCCAGGCAGGGCCCTCAGCAGGAAGTGGATGTCTGCACTGTTGTGGGCAGTGGTTGTGGCGTCGTGTGCAGAGGGACCAGGAGAAATGATGGGGAGCTAGCTTCAGTGCCTCCTCCTGGGCATCTCACAGCAGGGAGGGGCTGAGGACTTTATTCTAGCAGTTTCTGTAAAGGCAGGCTCATCTGCCATCCTGTCTTCCTCTAAGCCTGCTTGGGGCCTGGGGACCGAGGAAGAGAGAATGTGGCCCTTGTTGTGGGGTGTGGGGGAAAAGGACAGCTGGGGACTCAGGCTGTTTTGGGCCAGCTGCAGGTCATTCCCTGGGCCTCAGCCAGCGCCCTGGTGACACCCCAGTGGGACCAGTGTGGACAGGCTCCTCTGCTGACTGGTTGAGGGGAAGCACAGGGCCCTTGTTTGGGGCCCGATCTCACAGTGCTGTGGGTTGGGTGCAGCTGTTCATGGACATCATGTTAGGCGGGCCAGACTGGCTTCCTGCCTGCTTCTCTCAACCTCCATGTGTGCACCTGTCTACGTGTGCGAGTCCCTAGTGGTGCTTTAAAAGAATGCAGCTTCCCGGATGGTTCAGAGAGAAAGAGATGCACAAATGCCAGGAGGGGACAGGGGAATTAATGTTGCAGGGTTCTTAGAACTGCTTGGCTTTTTAAACTGTGTGTATGCAATACTTTGATAACCATGACTTCAAATATCCCAAAACATCCATAGAGCGAGAGTCGTCCCACCCTGAAACAACTAGGTCTGAACCTCTGGGGACGGGCTGGGCCTGCTGATATTGACTGTGGGTTTCTGATGCTTGGTGCTGCCTGTGCCTGTGCTAGACATGGGAGTGGCCCAGCGGGCTCGGCTGTGCAGGGACCTTGTGGGGGATGGGGTCAGGAAGGGGTGGAGTTTGAGAATGGAGGACCCCAGGCTCCTCTGTAAGGAAGGCTCTGTCGTTAGACAAGCACACACCTCCCTGCTGGGGGACACTGCCTGTGTTCTGTGTTGGTAACAGGAGCCTTGTTCTTTGTTTCTCAGGGCAGTTGGGTGAGAAGCAGGTTCCGTCTTCAACCTCGGATGATCGGGTAAAAGACGAGTTCAGTGACCTTTCTGAGGGGTGAGAGAAGAGTGGGTTTAAATAGCCTAAAATTTCTCCTTGGAAAACCAAACCTCGCCATCCTAGGGGCACACTGCCCGTGTCCTGGCCGAGACTCTCCCTCTCTCTGTCTCCATTGGGAGGAGAGGAGTGGCCAGGGGTGCTTCCAGCCTTCTAGTTCCTGATTGGGGGTTTCCTGGGTCCCCGAGGGTACCCCAGACCTGATGCAGCTACAGGGGGAGGACAGCTGGGTGGTGTGGAGTTACTCTGTGAAGACGGTCCCATGGTCAGGCCTTTGCTGCTGCTGGCTTGTCTCCTCCTTCAAGGCCTTACTTTTGTGCCAACCCCAGATGTTACTAGAACAGAGGAAGCCAGCCCTTGGCTCTTATCATGACATAATTGTGACTTGGGGTGGAGGCTCCATGCAGGAGGACAAACCAGAGGGGGCATCATTAGGGATCGTTTGCTCCTGGGGCCACTCCCTGCCTCTAAGCTGAAAACCACTTGGGGTGGTGGCCCCATGCCAGCTGGCCTTCACCTCCTTTCCACCCTACCCCATAAGCTGTGGCTGTAATGCAGACACACCATTGTCCAAACAAGTAGAAGGACAGCACAATTTTTGGTGCAACTCCAGGGGAATGCCAATGACAAATGACCAGGGTGCTGGAAGTACCCAAGTGTGTGTGTTAGAAATGCCTCTAGACCAGGAGTGGTTGCTGGCTGTCCTGCAGGCCACCAGCCAGCCTCAGGCCTTTCTCTGTCTGGACAGGTGCCAGCCTGGCTCTGTCTGCTGCCCAACAGAGACTGAATAATGCTTCATGTTTTGGGGTGAAGGTTACAGATGTACAGATCTTTTTCTGGCCTTTGTGACCTTTGAAATGGCTGACACTTGACCTGTTAGCTTGACAGGTACTCACGGTTATGGGGTTGAGATGACTTTCTAAAAGTCCAGGCACTGAGAAGCCCACCTCCTGTGAGTGTCTTCACATCCTGCCTAGGGCCCCCATAGAGAGGCTCTTTGTGAGTTCGAGGTCCTGGTGCGAGGAGAGTGTGGCTTATAGGGGATTCTTAGCTTGTTGGACTTCCGTGACCCTGGCTTGCCCTTTCTGTTAGGAAGTGCGATCTGAGATTTGGGGATTTTAGGTATCTTAAGACCTTTTCAGGAGAACTAAAACATGAAATATAGGAATCCGTTTGGTGTCTTTAGACAGGAAGTCTCATTAGATCTGTCACTAACCCCAAGGCTTTGCTAAAAGTTCTCTCTTGTTTCCTAGAGACTTCTTTAGTGAAGATGAAAATGACAAGAAGCGGACTACCCAGTCCTCGGATGAGTCCTTTGAGCCATATCCAGAAAAGAAGTAAGGGGACAGTCCTGCTACAAGTATATGGGGTCTAGGGGTGGCATCAAATGGGTCACCTGGAACCTGCGTCTGCCTCGTGGGGTCAGCATGCAGGAGCAGCAGGACAGAGAGTGGAGACTCACATTCCCTGGTCTGCCTCACTTAGCACACACTTTTTGCTTCTCTTTGGCCTGACCTCCCAAGCCCAGGGCAGTGTGGCTTCTGAGTGAGCCAAGAAGCGTTTGCCAGTTTAGTGCTCGGACCTGGCCTCAGTGTCACATCATAAGGCAGCAGACAGCCGTGTGAGGGTGGCAGGAGGCCTGTGGACATGACCCAGACTCATTCTGGGAGCTCCTTGCCTTCCCTCTGTCAGTTCTGCCCCAGCCACACCACTCCAGTGTCTACCCTGTTAGCCTCTGATTTCCTGTAGGAACCCTACCCTGCTGTTCTCTGTTCTCTGTACCCAGGGCCTGAGGCATGGGCCCAGCCCTGCATTTGCTCTCAGCTCTGCCTCTGCCACTGATTTCTTTGCCACTTCCTTGTTGAGTTGCTTCCTTGATGACCTCGTCTTAACCTTCCCTTTTCAGAGATTTGTGTTCTCTCTCCATTTAGAACGTAGGGTTCTGGCAGGGAGGCTTGATTTTTATTTGTGTCACTTTCCTCCCAACCCCAGCCCAGGAACTCTGCAAACACCTATAGTTAGTTGATGCCCAACTTGAGTGTTGTCCTCCAGCATTTCACAACAGAATGAAAACATGAGAGCACCACACCATCAGCCAAGAACATGCAAAACAAAGACTGAGAAGCAAACACAACTTCCTTTTTTTCCTTTAAGTTCTGACTTGGGTTATGGAAAGAGAGGAGGAGAGTAGGCGGCTTGGGGAAGAGATCAGCGTCAGTGTTGGACTGAGCCAGAGGCACGTGAGTGGGCCTCAGAGTAGACAGAAAGCTGGCCAGGGCCAAGAGGAAGTATCAGATAGGTCCTGCCCCCCGAGCTTCCATGCCAGGTTGGGGAGACCAAGTCTGTTTCCAGGAAGCACAGCCTGAGTGCGGCACAGCGCTGCCACAGGAAGTGAACTCCAGAGCTGAGTGTGAATCCCAGGGCGTGGCCCAGAGTCCACATCTTTATGGCTTGCTGCCCACTGGTCTGGGGAGAGGACAGAGATGGGCTCAGGAGGAAGAGGGTATGCTCGGCCATGCCTCTGCTGCTGAGATGGGGACAGCACCCACGGGGCTTCACTCACTGTGTCTCCACGAGGACCCCAAGGAGTGCAGACAGCTATGTGTGGTGGAATGGAGACACATAAGACAAGTTTTCAGAGGCCTGTAGTAAAACAGGTGATTTTAGTGGAATCTGGGCCCTGCAGCAGGAGGGACCAGGCGGCAGTGGGCAGACCAAAGCTGTGGGCTCAGCCCTTTGCCTGCAGAGGCACTCTGACCTGGTAGCCACTTGGTTCCTCAGGTGCTACTATGTGAGTCACAGCTGGGAAGCTAGGACGGGGCCTCTGAGCATTCCTGGTCCACGTGACTTTGTTCTAGCAGACGTGCCTATCTGGGTCCTCAGCTGGCGCAAATAGAAAGAGACTTAGTGATGTATTAATTAGGGTGCCGTGGCTTGAGCGACCGAGGGGAAGGCAAGGAAAACCAAGCAGCAGTTGAGTCAGGCGTTATAAGCACAGCCTTCCTGCGTGCGTAAGGACCCCAGCCCCACACCCTTCAGGGACTCACCTGTGAAACCATGGGCTCTGAAGCCTCCTGCTCTCAGGAAACCTGCTGTCTAGTGTGGGAGGGAAACAGCACATCACTGGTCACAGCGCGGCTCTGTGGAGAGGAGAGGGTGGAGGCCAGCGAGGAGGGGACACATGGCCAGGTTTTGAAGAACAATTAGAGAGACAAGAAGAGGAGGAGAAGCCTGTACAGTCATCAGAAAGGTTCTTTTTAATATACTCTTTAAGGAGGAAGACAATTGTTTGTAACCTGTTTTTTTAAATTGTGGTAAAATATATCATAAAATTTACCATTTTACCATCTTTAAGTGTATAATTCATTGGCATTAAGTACATTCACAATGTTGTGCAACCTTCACCACTGTTTGCAAACTTTTCATCATCCCAAACAAACTCTGTACCCCTTAAACAATGACCCTCCTCCTTGCACCACCTCCCCCCCCCCACCGCGCCCCCAGGCCCTGGCAACCACTTATCAAGGTACCCATTCTAGGGGCCTCATAGAAGTGGAGTTACCCACTATTTATCCTTCTGTGACTGGCTTCTTTCACTTAGCATAATGTTTTTGAGATTCATCCATGTTGTAACATGTATCAGAACTTGATTCCTTTCTGTGGGTGAATAATATTGTATGGATAAACCACATTTTGTTGATCCATTCATCTGTCATTTGGGGCTGTTTCCACCTTTTGGCTATTGTGCATAATGCTGTGAACACTGGTGTACAAGTATCTGTTTGAGTCCCTGTTTTCAATTCTTTGGGTATAAAACCAGAAGTAGAATTGTTGGGTCATATGGTAATTCTGTGTTTAATTTTTTGAGGAACTGCCATATAGTTTTCTACAGCAGCTGCACCATTTTACATTCCTGCCAACAGTGCACAATGGTTCCAATTTCTCCACACCAACCTCACCAAAATTGTCATTATCCGTTTGTTTTTTTTAATAGTCGTCCTAATGGGTATGAGGTGCTATCCTCATTGTCATTTTGATTTGCATTTCCCTAATGATTAGTGATGTTGAGCATCTTTTCACATGCTTGTATCTCTTTGGAGAAATGTCTAGTCAAGTCCTTTGCCAGTTTTTTAATTGAGTTGTAGGATATGTTTTCTCCCATTCAATGGGTTATCTTTTTCACTCTCTTGATAGTGTCCTTTGGTGCACAAAAATTTTTAATTTTGAAGTCTAATTGACCTATTTTTATTTTTGTTGCCTATGCTTTTGGTGTCATATTTAAGAAACCATTGCCAAATCTAGGTCATGAAGATTTACCTTTATGTTTTCTTTTAAGAGTTTTATAGTTCTGGCTCTTAGATTTAGGTCTTCGATCCATTTGAGTTAATTTTTGTATATGGTGTTAGGTAGAGATCCAACTTCATTCTTTTGCATGTGGATGTCCAGTTGTCCCAGCACCTTTTGTTGGAGACTGTTGGCACCTGTGTCACAAATCAGTTGATTGTATTTGTGAGGGTTTATCTCTGGTCTCTCAATTCTATTCAGTTGGTCTGTATGTCTGTCTGTATGCCAGTAAAGGCATAAAGGGACAGTCAGGGACACTGACTATTCAGTGTCCCTTGAAATTCCATGTGAAATTTAGGATAGTTTTTTCTATTTCTGCAAAAAATACCATTGGAATTTTGTTAGGGATTGAATCTGTAGATTGCTTTGGAGGAAGTATTGCCAACTTATTAAGTCTTCCAAACCACAAACATGGGATGTCTTTCCACTTATTTAGGTCTTCTTTAATTTCTTTCAGCAGTGTTTTATAGTTTTCAGTGCAGAAGTCTTTCACCTTCCTGGTTAAGTGTATTCCTAAATATTTTATTCTTATTGATGTTACCACAAAGGAAATATTTTCTTAATTTCCTTTTGGGATTGTTCATTGCTAGTGTATAGAAAAAGAACTGGTTTTTGTGTGCTGATTTTGTACCCTGCAACTTTGCTGAATTTTTGTGTGTGGATTCTTTAGGGTTTTCTACATATAAGATCATGTCATCTGTGAATAGAGGTAATTTTTCTTCCTTTCTAATTTAGATGACTTTTATTTCTTTTTCTTGCTTAATTGCTCTGGCTAGGACTTCTAGTACTATGTTGAATAACACTGGTGAGAATGGGCATCTGTGTCTTGTTGATGATCTGAGAGGAAAAGCTTTCAGTCTTTCACTATTGAGAATGATGTTAGCTGTGTCATATATGGCCCTAGAAATTCCCTTCATTTCCTCACAGATTTCCTTAAATGTCTGGATCCAAAAAATAAAAAAAAAGTGTGCATGACTCTTTAAATCTTTGATAGACACTAAGGAGGAAGTTGCTGTGTCTGGGCTGGTCCCTCAGTGACCTGCCAGATGGACTCAAAATGCACAACCCCACATTTTTGGATCACAAGGTCCTCACTGCCCGCCCTGGCCCCAGTGCAGGGCTGAGGAGTAGAGGTGGCAGCTAGTGGAGCATGCAGCTCTCTTCCCAGAGACAGCACTTCTCCCTTCAGGCCTCCCCTGGGTGCTGTGAGTCTCCCAGCAGGTTCAAGTTCCAATATAGTGCATTCTGATCTTTTTCTAGGTTAGTGGTTGTTTTGGTGGAGGGACTGACCCCTAAAGCTTCCCTACTCCATTTTCCATGACATCTCCAGAGTTTGGTTTTTATGTTTAGAAGAGGAGGTAAAGCTTCTGTCCTGAAAACCCACACCCATGGCCAGTGTGGTCCACGGCCATGTGCTCTGCCCTTCCCAGGTGGCAGTACAAGGTCTCTGCCTTCCCCCAAGAGTCATTCCACCTTTGTGGCCAAGGGTCAGTTTGAGGGCCAGCCAGTTAGCACAGAGACTGAAGCAGGTTAGCCATGGAAGCCTCTCATCTTTGAAGAGAAAAGCATGAAGAAAAATGAGAAACCTGTATGCAAATGGAGATCGAAACATCGCTGAATCTAAGTCTTTTTTTTTTTTTTCTCAGGGTCTCTGGTAAGAAAAGTGAAAGCAAAGAAGCCAAGAAGCCTGAAGAACCAAAAATTCGAAAGAAACCTGGACCCAAACCGGGATGGAAGAAAAAGCTCCGCTGTGAGAGGTGAGGGCTGGGTGTGGGGCTGCACCGCCCGGTGGGGCGGTGGCTCCACGTGTGCTCTGCCTTGTAGGGAGGAGCTGCCCACCATCTACAAGTGCCCTTACCAGGGCTGTACGGCCGTGTACCGAGGGGCCGATGGCATGAAGGTGAGGAGGGTGCTCCCGTAGGCCAGGGCTGTCTTCAGGTGTGGGTGAGCGAGCTGTGGCAGGTGTCTGCAGGAGCCTGGGGGAGGCACCAGATGTTTCAGCAGAGCTGGGTGCAGACTCTTACCCAAGGGCTCACGTGAGCCTGGGACCAGCACTGTGGTCCATGGGGGGAGGATCCTTGCTCCTGGGAAAGCACCCATCTCTTGAGTAAGGAATGGTTGGATCTGTTCCTTCTGGAGGGTGCTGAGCACGGCCTGTGGGCAAAGGCATGTGCTGCATGACGAGGTGGGACATTGTCCAGGCTGAGGCACTCAAGGTCTTGCTGTCCCTCCTGCAGAAGCACATAAAGGAGCACCACGAGGAAGTCCGAGAGAGGCCCTGTCCCCACCCTGGCTGCAACAAGGTGTTCATGATTGACCGCTACCTGCAGCGCCACGTGAAGCTCATCCACACAGGTGAAATGCCCTGTCCTCCCACACTCTCACCTATACAGGCCCCCGGGGGGCTGACAGGGGCTTGCTACCCTTCCAGGAGTCCCAAGGCAGCATCTTGGTACCTCATGAGTCGTGTGTTAAGTGGTATGGAAATGACAGCAAAAAAATCATGGTGCCTTTCTGCAAGTTTATCATGGTATTTTTATTGTTACTTTAAAAAAGTGACATTTTTTTATATGCTTTTTGGATTACAACAGAAATTTATGTGCATCTTGTGTAGAAACTGTGAAAAATAAGAAAAGCAGATAGTAAGTGCCCTCATACACTGCCCCCATCAGCACTTGAGGGTTTCCTCCTCTCATTTTTCCCTCTGCATACATATTACAACCCTGGGCTCATATTTTCCTCACAGGTGTGATTTCCCCCTCCAATTTTAATGACATGACCCATACAACCCACGTTAGGAAACATGAGAATTACATGCATGCCTGATCCACAATCGTTGCTGCTTCTGCCCAGAAGGTAGCTCTCCTGCCTTGGCATTTCTCCCCTTTAAAAGATAAATTTGTTACATCTATATTTGTCCCTAGACAATAGTTTTGCTTGTTTTTGAACTTTGTAAAAATGATTTACTATAGAATGTCTTAAGATTTCCTTTTTCACTCAGATTTGTCCGTTTTATTATTGGATCACATTACGTGTTGGTTCCACAGTGAAACCATTTTCCTGTGTTTTGCTCTGAGCGTTCTTGCACATGTCTCCTGACACAATACTTCCCTTAGGTCGTGTCTTCAAACTGTGTGTCTCAGTCCAGACACCACTGGTCACAACCATTAGCAGGTTTTTTAAAACACAAAAGAGGACAGACTGTAAACTCTGAGTGGACTGTACCTAGTGTTTCAGGTATTTGTAGATGAGCAGGTGGCATGTGAAATGACACTGGGGAAGCATGTGGCCACTGCCCAGGTGCCCATCCAGGAGTGGAATCAGTCGTATAGGGTCTGACTGTTCACCTTTTGTTCAAGAGTGTAAGAAGTTGATTTCCAAAGTGGGTACTCCCATTGTGGGCCCAATATGGGGGTGATTTCTAGAGCAGCAGAAGCTGTGATCAATAATCTATGAAACCATATTGATTTTGCTTCCTCTAAGAATGGAGATGTAAAGTTAAAGAAAACAGGCTTCATATGTATACAGTTGGTGAAGAGGAAGTCCCAGCCAGGTGACATTTTCACGCAATTTGGAGGGCTCTAATAAAAAGGGGCTTTGTATCAGAATTGTCTTTCATCTATGAATAAAATTGCAAAGTCCTCTTGGCTTGGGCTCTGAGTGTAGAAAACAACACTTCAGACCATTGTGCTCTAGGGGAGGGTTGGGCATTTTCAGTGCCTGTGCTCATTCCATCTCTGGTCCTTAGAGGTGCGGAACTACATCTGTGACGAGTGTGGACAGACCTTCAAGCAGCGGAAGCACCTTCTCGTTCACCAGATGCGCCACTCAGGAGCCAAGCCTCTGCAGTAAGTGGGGGCTGGGCACCTCCTCGAAGCCACACTGGCTACCATGCCCTTGCTCACCTGCCCCTGTCCCCAGGTGTGAAGTCTGTGGGTTCCAGTGCCGGCAGCGGGCGTCCCTCAAGTACCACATGACCAAACATAAGGCTGAGACTGAGCTGGACTTTGCCTGTGACCAGTGCGGCCGGCGGTTCGAGAAGGCCCACAACCTCAACGTACACATGTCCATGGTCCACCCTCTGACACAGACACAGGACAAGGCCCTGCCCCTAGAGCCGCCACCTGGGACCATGGAGGGTCAGACCGTGAAGCCTGAGCCCACCTGAGGGCACACAAGCACCTGGACTCAGCAGGCGGTAAATGGGATTTAAAGACAATTTTAATAGTTCCTCACACCAGACCTGATGGCACAGCTTCGCTCGCTCCCCTAAGAGCCCCCACACTGTACCCCTGCCTCGTGTGTCATTGCTCTGCTGGCTGGTGGAGGCGGGCTCAATGCGCAGCTCACATAGCCTTTCACGCCTCCACTCTGGGACCAGCAGTTTATTTTCCTACCAACACTGAGTGACTCGGGGTCAGATGCAGATTTTAAATAATTGATTCCTCTTCCCCACTAAAGAAATCAAGGAGATTTGTAATCCACTTTTTATCACAACAAGAGCTCCATGTTTTGCTTGAAATAAATTATTTACAAAGAAGCTGGGCTGTACACCATGCAGGGTCCAGTCAGAAGAGATGAGGCTCTTGGTAGAGGTCAGTGTCAGACATGGCCTGCTGCCTGCTCAGGAGGGCAGTGATCACTTCCGGGTCACAGTCTCCACCAGTGGCCAGCAGCTGGAAGAAGATAGCTGTGCTCAGCTCGGTGCTGCCCCACAGACCCCAAACACCAAGGGCACAAAGAGAGGGAAGCTGGTGACCATAGCCCGATTGGTAAGTAGCCATGGCAGCCACAATGCCAAGTGTCGGGCACTGTACGTTCCCATTTTACCTAAGGTGTAGGAACTTCAGCATCCTCACATTTAAATAGTGACTTAGACTTAAAACCAAATGCTCAGGTGAGCATCTGGGTATTACCTCTGCTATGTTTGAGAAGCTCTTTTTCGGGCACTGAGGTATTGATTGCAGCAGAAAAAGACGAGCTTTTGTTAACAGGCCTACAGGGTCACCCTAGAGAGAAGACAGGCAGAGCCATGGTCAGGGTGCCCACACTTGCTCACTGTGCCAGGAAGGGCTTTCACAGGCCTCAGGCCCCAGACAGCTTGCTGCTTGGGTTTGTGGGATGTGCCATCTACCTGGAGAAGGGCCCCTGCACCTGCCTGGCCCTGGAGCTCCTGGATCCCGCTGGCTGGAATTGAGACTGCACTCGTATCGCCATCCACAAAGAGGCAGATCAGCTTCAGGTACATGTCGACAGCAACGTGCAGGAAGGCGTCTTCCCTGAGGAGGGCGTCTTTGTCAAAGTAGGAGAGAAGGCTGAAGGTAAAGACATAAGATGTCAGATGACTCCAAGACCTTACAGGGATAAGTGGCAGCCAGCACAGAGAACAGCTGTTCATCTGAGGAACAAAGTTACAGGCAGGCTTTGGAGGGAGACCCCTAGTGGTGCCAAGATACAGGGTTGGGGCAGGGGATGCTGACCCTCCTCAGACCACACAAGGCCCCAGGGGCGCGGGCTCCTTCTCTGAGAGAGAAGGCTGTGGCACTGACCAGAACAGCAGGTGCAGTTACCTGTAGAAGGCGAATGGCAAGAGCCTGATGTACTGATCTGGGGCCAGGCGGAGGAGGATGTGCCCTAGGCTGGCATCTGTAACACCATGGGGGTGCTGAGTCAGCTCGGGGGGCCTCCTCCCCAGCATCGGTATCTTTAGGGATGTCAGGTTCCTCTGGGAGGCCTGTGCCTGGCTGTGGAAGGGTGACGTCCTCATGCTGGAGAGCAGAGCCTGGCGGCCAGACAGGCAGATCCCCCACAGGACAGCCCAGCAGCACCCTGGGATCCTCAGAACTCCACTAAATCCTTTTGTTGTTTAAATGAGTTTATACTACATTTGTCCTGACCAAAATGGGGTTTATTTACTCAGCAAGAAGATAAACTTGCAAAAACGAGTTTGTTAAGTGAGCCCGAAGGAGGGCTCATTCTTAACCATTTGAAGGTTGCTTCTGAAGAGAAGGACTACAGAGTTGGATCCTAGTCTGACCCTGCCAGGTCACCTGTGCTCCCAGCAGATGGCCATCCCTCCATTAGCTATCAAGTCTCAGTGGATTTCTTACCTGTCTCTCTCAACTGAAAGAGCACCAGCCAGGATATTTTCCTTTTCTCCAAAAACCCCAGAATCTTGCCACAAATGTCCAAAGCCTTCAGGGAGTTGACGGCCTGTGACCCACAGAAGAGGGAGAAAGACTCAGAGATGGCAGGTGTCTGCAGAGCTGGTGTTTAGAAGTGTATACACGTGGGGAAGAGGGATGACCTCGGTACAGAAGGGAGCCTTTCCTTTTTCTTGCTCTAAGTCTTAAGTGCTCATAACCTATAGAAGATGTCACCCTGGGAACTCTGGATGGAGGAGGCTCAGGTAGGAGGAGGTGGCCAGGGACCCTCAGCTCCCAAGGTCTGAAATAAGACATCAAGAGAAAGGCCCATAGCCTAGGGGTTCTCCCTTCAGTGAACACAGTTACTCTCCTGAGAAACCCTTTGAAATGAAGGTTCCAGGGCCCTCCCCTCTCCCTCCTGAGAGACCCTGATTCAGGAGGTCTGGGGGAAACTAGAGACCCGTGGTTTCAAGCACATGTGGGGGCTGTGCAGGCTGCTCGCTGTCCTGCCCACAGTGGGAAACGCCACCTTAGCTGATGAGGTCTGACATACGTGTGGGGTCAGATGTGATGACAGCAGGCCGATCAAGGAAAAGAAAAACAGGAAAACCAGCAGCTGCAAATAAGAAGAGGCACACTTACACAATGTCAAATTACCTCTGCCTCTGTCCCTGAAGTAGCTCTAGAGAAGGAATGCACAAGTTCCTCTTTATAGGTCTAGAGTATAAATCTTTAAGTGGCTCTTCTCAGAAAGAAAATGGTCCAGTTACTTTTTTGTGTGTGTGTGAGGAAGATCGGCCCTGAGCTAACATCTGCCAGTCCTCATTTTTGCTGAGGAAGACTGGCCCTGGGCTAACATCCATGCCCATCTTCTTCTACTTTATATGGGATGCCACCACAGCATGGCTTGACAAGTGGTGCGTCGGTGCACGCCCCGGATCTGAACCAGCGAACCCTGGGCCACCACAGCACAGTGTGCGCACTTAACCACTTGTGCCACTGGGCTGGCCCCTCCAATTACTTTTAAAGAGAATTTAATTTAAAATAAATTATTACTGATTGGGTTGTTTTATACTTGCCTCTGAACACAGCTTGGAACAGTGACAGCAGTGAGCAATCAGGCTGTTGCTGAGGGCCTCCTTGGGATGTGAGCTGCAGGTACCCCTCACCTGTGCCCAGCCTTGCTCCCCAGCTTCCCGTCCAGAAGTGTTTGTAAAATCCCTGGCGATAACCCCACAGGCTCCATCCTGACTCAGGGCAAGAACCCACCTCTCCCAACCCCCTGGTGCACAGCCAGGCTGGGTGGGGTCTCAGACACTGTCCCCTTGGCAAACTCAGGCCTGGAGGCTTTGAAGCCACCAAAATCCCTTCCAACAAAAAGAACCTGAAAACAAAAAACTTGGAAGAATCTTCCTATAGGTTTTTTACTTTAAATTATAATTACCAAAAAACCTTGGCTCAGCAGTTGCTCTGTTGTCAGGCAGGCATGTATGTCCTGAGCTGACAGGTGGACATTACAGAGCAAACGGTTTAGCTGGGGAGACTGGAGGGAGTGCCGTAGGGCTGGTTCTCCTCTTCCTCAGGAAGACGAGGTGCCCCTCCTCACAGAGGACACAGAAGGGCGCACCTCATCTCTGGCTGAGGGGCTCTGTGCTGCCAAGCCTTGGGGGGTGTGGTGAGCACTGAGTACAGAGTCCAGACTGGTCCCACAGCTCCTGGTGGGGACGTTTCAAGGTGCCAGCCTGGAATTCAGAGCAGCCTTCTCTCCACCCTCTTTTCCTTGCACCTGCCCTGTTTCTCAGCGTGTGCCTAACTGGGGGTGCACACGAATCGAGGCTATGGAAACAGGAACACAAAAGGTTCCGTTGGACAGCGGACAGCTACCCTGGGTTGTGGTGAGGATAAAAGGAAGCTAAATAAAAGCACTTGAAAAATGAAACGTAAGGTGTTCCTTTTACCAGTAAACTTGAGAGTCCAAGTCTTATTAAACCTATAAACCCAGTAAGTTTTACTTCCAAATCAAGTTACAAGAACTCCAAACTTCCTGTCTGTCCCTGGAAAAGCACACTTCATTAGGTGAACCATGAGAAATACTATTGATCAGAAACCTGATTAAAAATGAGCTTACTAGAAAAGAAAAAAATAAGTGAAAGAATTTTATTTCTTGCCTCCTCTTGTTGGCAGTCCAGCTTCTCTAGCTCTCTCTCAACGCTTTCTTTCCTGGCTTGTTGAATCGCAAAGTGCAGCGCTGCAGCAGAGACCCACGCTGGGTCAGGTGCAGGGGACGCTGTGCTGGGAGAGAGGAAGCTGGGAGATAGAGAGGCAAGTGTCAACACAGGAACCTCACAACCACGTCACCTAAGGACTTAAAGTCCTTGTTCCTGTAACTGTCTCAACACCGGCCCCGTCCAGCTTTAGGTCAAGCAGTGAGAAGCTGCAGAGTCAGCAGAAACGAGTTCTGTGTCCCTCATACCCCTGGCTCTGCATGGAGACCTGTGGCAGAGGGCAGAGGCCCAAGCCTGTATCACAGCCTGGTCCTTGGTTTAGGGTCTGGTTTCCAGTTCTGTTAGCATGCCTCTGTGCTGTGGACAGGGCACCTGGTCCTGGCTGCCTGAGCTTTCAATCCTTTCAAAGGTTGTGGGACACTGAGACCTGTGGCATGGAGTCCACCACTCGGACCCTCAGGGGTCTGCACCTGGCCCTTCCGCTTACTCAGTCCTCAGGCCCTGCTCTGACCGAAGTGCGATGTTCAAAAAGGTTTTCCAGCAAGTTAAAAAGGGCTAAAAATTAGTAAGGGAATAGAATGCCATGATTCAGAAACTTGAAGCAATCTGCTCTGTCAGCAGAACTAGGGTTGGTGGGCGAGACTCGCTTTCCCTGTTTTCTGAGATTTCGAGCACCCCTGACCCTGCAGGGGAACATGGGCACATCAGGGATAAAAAAGCTCCAGTCACAGAGTCAGACGTGAGGAGGCTGGATGGGGACCAGCAGTTCCTTCTGGAGGCCTCTAAGAACTCAACACTCCCCAAATCCAGCAGGATGCCAGAGACCGTCAGCTCAGCAGGTCAGGAGGGCGGTTAACCTAGATCACTGGCCAGTCCCAGGGCTGCATCCCTAACACATCCCTGTGGTATTGACCCGGCCACTCTCAGGGCCACTGCGGATATAGGAGGAGGAGACAGGCAGATGGACAGGAAAGCTAAGCAGGGACCTGCTGAAATCAGTCTTTCCACAATAGTCTTGAGCTTCTCACTCAGAAAGCTGTCAGCTTGTTCTGTTTGTTCCCACTCAACGTGGGTCTTGCAGAGCCTGCCCAAAAGGCCCCTCTCAAGCACCCCAAGATGTCCATGGACATAATCCAGAGCAGATCCTAAAGTACATCCACGCTTTCTCCCCCATGTCCCGCTGCCAACACTTACCTCCTGGCAAACTGCTGGGCCTCTCGAAGCCTCTGCAGCTCTCGGGGCAGTGGGCCCTGGAGGCATTTCTTCCACCGACAGTGAAGCTCAGGCTCCAGGCGTGGCCACCACAACTCACAGAAGAAAAAGATAGCAGTAAAGAGAGAGGGGCAGCTGTATCTGGACACATCTCCAGTCCCCATAGTCAAAACGATTTGGAAACCTCAAGTGACCACTGAAGATCTAGGTGAGAGATGTCCACTCCACCAGCAGACGCCCCCTCTAAGCCCAGCTCACGTCCATCTAATGCTTTGTAACTTGAAGCACAGTACCTCATGTCCCTTATTTAAGGCTCAAAGCAACTGCATGAGGCATTCTCATCCTCATCTGCAGAGGATACGGAATCTGGAGAGGGGAGGGCCCTGCCTAAGGAGGCCCCCTATTTGTGGTGTCAGCCACACTCTGCCCCAGACCTGGGCCCAGTCCTTGGACATCCCTGCTGAGAGCTGGTGTTTTTTTTTTTTTTTTTTTTTTTTTTTATTATTTTTTTCCCCCAAAGCCCCAGTAGATAGTTGTATGTCATAGCTGCACATCCTTCTAGTTGCTGTATGTGGGACGCGGCCTCAGCATGGCCGGAGAAGCAGTGCGTCGGTGCGCACCCGGGATCCGAACCCGGGCCGCCAGCAGCAGAGTGCACGCACTTAACCACTAAGCCACGGGGCCGGCCTGAGAGCTGGTGTTTTAAACACAGAATAGCTCCCTGAAGGTTAATTCCATCCCACTGAGCTAGACCAGGTGAAATGCCAAAGCCGCTCAGGGAGCTTGGCAGGGAATATGCTGCTTTGAGGGAAATGAGCTCTAGTCCCAGTACAGTGAGTGTCAGGATGCCATTGAGTGAAACTGAGAAGGGAGCAAAGAAGCTGTGTGTTGTCAGGACTCTAAGAAAGCCCGCAAAGGCACCGAAAGGAACCCCACACCCTTGGTCCTAGAACGTCAGGTCACAGGAAGGCCAGGCTGGCAGGAGGCTGAGGCGGCCTCTCTGTTCTCAAGTCCTGAGACAGCAACCAAGACGACAGATGGAATGAACACCAGATTATACCCACGGGAGAGCGCAGCAGTTACTGTTCAACTCCAGCCAACACAGAATGAGTGAGTGAGTGAAGGAACACCCAGACATGTAGACAAGAAGAGCCTGTTCCTTCCCAGCTCTCTTACAGGTTTCTGTGCCACCTGAGACAGGTGTAGGGAGAGGGCAGGCAGGAGAACCTATGTTCTGACGTGTTCTATTTAGCCTCTGTTTCTCCTAATGCATTTTGTCTTAAACTGTAATAACTAGGATGAAGTTGTGGACAGAAATCGAGGACACACTGCCGAGAAGCCCTAGGCAGCTGAGGAGCTCAGTGCAGGTCCACGAACACCCCCAAAATGGCAGCCGGGCCTACCAGAGCAGAGGTCAGAACTATGGGGCACTCGGTCTGGCACGTGGTCAGGGTCAGGTTGGCTGTCAAGGAGGGGTCTCTGCTTCGTGAACAGGCATTGAGGAGCCCCTGCAGAAGAGAACATGCCAGAAGCTCAGCAGTCTGCAAGTGAACCCAGGCCCTGAAAGACACCATGACTTCAAAGCACCGCCAGACACAAGGATCCAGCCCGGGCAGTCTGAGCAGGTGACAAGGGGGTGCAGAGGGAAAGGGAATTACCCTGAAGAAGTGGACGGTGATGTCGTGGGTCAGGGCACCTCCATGGGAGCAGAAGTTTCTCTGCAAAACAGTACAGGCCAGTAAGAAAGGTGCCAGTGGGGAGGAGGCACAGGGACGGAGCCTGGTCTGCAGCCCCACTGTCCCTGCCTGGGGCTGTGTGCTGAGCACCTGTGCATGTGCCCAGAGGGTTTAAGGGTTTAGCTGTGGAAGAAAGCAGGCCACAGCATCACCACTGACCGTGGAGGGCCGGCCTTGGGCGGCTTCATGTCCACTCACACACTGTGCTGGAACCTTCTAGCTCACTGCTTCTCCACATGGCTCCTCTGTGCAACCAGATCCCCCAGCCTCCTGGGCGCCCCGGGGAGGTGGGGCAGCACTCACTGCTGCTCCTGCTGCTGGGGTGGCATTGCTCTTTCCTACCACTTCTCTGCTTTCCCTGTCCTCTGCCAATGAGGAGCTGTCCTGCACATTCCACAGGCTATTCCGAGAGCTTTAAGGAAAATAGCCTCTGGTAAGAATTTAAAGAAAATCTGAGCTCATTTCCTCTGCTCTCAGAGTCACCTTTTAAAGCTCTACACAACTGAATGGGACCTCCGTTCAACCTCCAGTCAGACATATTTGTGCATTTCTAAAAACCAGAAAAACACCTTTAGGAGTAGAAGCCGTTCTCATGAAGTGTGCAGGGAGCACGCTTGTTCAAGGTCACCTCATTGACCTTGACTGGATGCAGGTCCAGGGATGTCATCTCTCGTCTGTCTTGGTAAGATCGTGGAGCACCTGACGCTGAGTGACGTGTAAAATGACATGGGGCTGCCTGCTAGTGACGGTGATCATGGCACCGCCAGGCTTTTGGACACCCGACACATGCCAGAATTGGAAAGAAATGAATGCAGGTGCTTGGCAAGCAGAAGGGTCTGCAACATTCCATGGATCCAAATTATTACAACTCGAGGAAAGTTCTGTGAAGGAACTTAAGCTTGGGAGGAAGGTCTCTGCATCCCGCTGGCCCATGTCCAGCTGTGGTGAAGCACTACACTCACAGCTGCTCCTGCTCTCTCACACAACTCCTCTTTCTCAGTAATCCCATATGGTCAGGACACGGACTGAGGCAGTTAGCCCCAAGTGACCATAGATGCACTCATGAACTTTTAAGAACCAAGCCTCAGTGCCCAGATCACCCCCTTATCCCTGTGTCCCGTGGTCACTTGCACTGTACCTACCAGCTCAGAGTTGACCAAGTGGAAGAACTCGTCACAGTCAGGGGTGGCTGGCTGTTCTCCCTGGGGGCTGCCGACGAGCACTGACGGAGGCAGGCTGAGGAGGATCCTTAGAAAGAAGGGAGTACAGCAACTGTGAAGGCACGGCCGAACTTCACTCCTTCTCGAGAGCTCACAGACTCTCTGAGCTGCAACGACCCTCCCTACTTGTTCTCAGAACCCGAGTCTGGTCTGCAGCCCCAGTGTCCCCACCTGGGGCTGTGTGCTGAGCATGTGTGCCCTGCTGGGCCCACTGCAGACACTCCAAATGTGTTACCAAGGGCCGGCCCAGTGGCGCAGCAGTTAAGCGCATGCACTCTGCTTCAGTGGCCTGGGGTTTGCAGGTTCTGATCCCGGTACGCACCAACGCACTGCTTGTCAGGCCATGCTGTGGCGGCATCCCATATAAAGTGGAGGAAGATGGGCACGGATGTTAGCCCAGGGCCAGTCTTCCTCAGCAAAAAGAGGAGGATTGGCATCGGATGTTAGCTCAGGGCTGATCTTCCTCACACACACACAAAAAAATGTGTTACCAAAAACCAATTTTTAAGTTGCATAATAAGCAAGTAAAGGGTGCACCATAGTCTAATGAAGCAGTTCCCTAATATTGGAAAATTCCATCATTTCACACTTTTCATTATAAATGCGGCTGCAGGGAATGTCTCTGAGCACTCACAGTTTCCTTATTTTAACATGAGTTCTTTAAGGCTACATCTTTCACCAGAGGGATTCCTGAGTCTCAGCATGAAGGCTTTAATCCAAAGTGCTTTTTATACCTCCAGGCCCTACCCTCCATGCAACCCCCAAGGAAAAGATACCATGACAGGCTGGGCAGCAGGGGGGACAGAAACGAGTGACTAATGGAAAAGAAAACTCAATGTAAAGACAGACTCTGAGATGTGGTGCTAAGTTACCGTTTGCACATAAGCAGCTCCCGCTGTCTCCGAAGGTGGGTGGCCACGTCCCACCCACTCGCCAGAGCACGGAGCCGTCTGCGGAAAACCCCGAAAAGGAAGTGCCCCCGAGAGGAAGAGTGGCCGTAGGGCGCCACTGGGCCCTGCTCCAGGTCAACAGCCATCTCCTGGAAAAAAGCAAGGCCAAGACGTTCACATACATTTATCTCTGGTTCCCGGTGGTTCTCTGTCCCCTAATGTGAAGGCAGAAACTCCTTGGGGTTTACTGTGTCAGCCCCTATCGGGACCCTGAAGTGGGCTTGGAAGAGAGGTCTCCACAGGGGCTAGGAAGAGTGAGTGGGACAAGCCTTCTTACTTGGAAATCACCGAAAAAGTACAGAAATTTGCCAAAATAAAATAAGAATAGTAGAAAGAACACCTTTACCCAGATTCACTTATGGCTAACATTTTGCCACGTTTATCATTTGCTCTTTACCTATACATACAGCTGTGTGCAGACGCACAATCTGGGCATGAATTACATAAATAAGGCACATGCACAGCAGGCACTTGATAAATGCCCGTTAACTGAAAGTGTACACACACGTGTGCACACTACCTACTTGCACACATTCAGATGCAGAGACAGAACAAGCTGAGTGCCCACGTCTCGTCATCACCCTGTCCATTTGTGACCCCAAACCCCATGACTCACGCTGTGTCTGCCCTCCCTGGTCACTCTTCCTTCCACAACCAGTTATGAGGGACGTGGAGGACAAAAGGTCAAGATGAGGGGTTGGGGGATTCGAGTCTTTTTTGTGGGATGTTTTACTCATTTCTAAGTAAATTTTCCCAGCGCTCCAGACTGCACCCTCCATGGTTTCTCTTTCACTCCCACATTTTCCAAATTCAGGCACTTTATGGTGGCAGCAAAAACACCATCGGGAAGCATGAAATCCACACAAAGACTCCTATAAAACAGAACTGCATATACACGTCCAAAGGTACAGATTCCCAGTGTACACAGTGGATGTGGAGGCAGGAAGGGGCCTTGTCTGCACTCTGACCCAAGAGCTCACTCCCAGGGTCTGGAGGAGAGCAGGCATGTTAACTACAGAATGTAGTTTTCATTTCAAATGAGAACACCACTTCTGCACCTCCTAAGTGCTCCCGCCTTGATAAAAAGCACCCGACAGCCTGTGGAGGTACCACATGACCTGTAAAATAGGAGTCTCCTGGCCTCCAAACTCCACAAACTCTTGATTCTCTGACAAGTAGAGGGTTATGTATGTAATTTCTCAGATCCTGACATCCAAATGGAGCAGCCAAGAGTTAAAAAAGCAGAAAATAGTGGAGTAGTAACCCTTTTACTACCAAAGTCGGTATTTTTTTCTTTTTTGAGGAAGACTGGCCCTGAGCTAACATCTGTTGCCAATCTTCCTCTTTTTTTCTTTTTTCTCCCTAAAGCCCCAGTACATAGTTGTATATTCTAGTTGTAGGTTCTTCTAGTTCTTCTATGTGGGACACCACCCCAGCATGACTTGGATGAGCAGTGAGTAGGTCCGCACCCGGGACGTGAACCTGTGAACCCTGGGCCACCAAAGTGGAACGTGCGAACTTAACCACTATGCCACCGGGCCAGGCCCGGTATTTTCTTAATTTCCTCTATTTTCAAATTTTAAATGTCCCAAAGCCTAGAGATGGTTTCAACATCACAGCTTTTGTTTCTGTATTTCTGTGACCTTCTCTGGTGAAATGAATTCACAGAGCACAGTCATTCTGGGTCTGGGCCATTGTGTGTGTTATGGTTTTCATTCTGCTTGGTTGCTGTAGGACCCATGAAGGATATTAATAATAAGCATCTTAATAGCAGATGGCTTATGTGCAGTGAACATGCTGAGTTTTGCATCTTCTAACTCACCTGCAATCTGGAAAAAATATCTCGATTTCCTGTGCAGCCACCAAGAACCAAATCAGAACTCTCTGAGTGGTCATAACTCCTTGAACTGAAATAAAAACACAATAAAACCCTCCTAAGTATCTCCTAACTATGCTGGAGTTCCTGCTTCTCCTCCTGCCTCCAGAATGGTGTTGGTCCCAGAGCCAGAGGCCTGCGGAGACCACGTGACACTCACAGTAATCAACAACAACAGAACCTTCTACAACAAAATACTAGCAACCCAAATCCAGGAACACATAAAAACAATTATGTATCATGACCAAGTGGGATTTATCCCAAGGATGCAAGGTTGGTTCAATATCCAAAAATCAGTTAATGTAATACACATATTGACAGAATAAAAAAGTACATAACCACCACAATAGACACAGATAAAACATGAGACAAAATTCAACACCCTTTCATGATAAAAACACTCAATAAACTTGGAGCAGAAGGGAACTTCCTCAACCTGATAAAGGGCATCTATGGAAAACCCACAGCAAATATCATACTTAATGATGAAAGACTGAAAAGTTTCCTCCTAAGATCATGAACAAGACAAAGATGTCCTGTCTTACCACTTCCATTCAATACTGCACTGGAAGTTTCAGCCAGGACAATTCAGCCAGAAAAATAAATAAAAGGCACCCAGATCGGAAAGAAAAAAGTTAAACCGTTTCTATTCACAGATGACACAATCTTATACATACAAAATCCTAAAGAATCCACAATAAAAAACTATTAGAGCAAATAAACAAGTTCAGCAAAGTTGCAGGATATGAAATCAATACAAAAAAATCAGTTTTATTTCTACACACTAACAATGAATAATGAGAAATGAAATTAAGACAATAATTCCAGGGGCTGGCCCCGTGGCTTAGTGGTTGAGTGCGCGCGCTCTGCTGCTGGCGGCCCAGGTTCGGATCCCGGGCGTGCACCCACGCACTGCTTCTCCGGCCATGCTGAGGCCGTGTCCCACATACAGCAACTAGAAGGATGTGCAACTATGACATACAACTATCTACTGGGGCTTTGGGGCGGGGGAAAAAAAAGAGTCCTAGGGAAAACCAAACGACAAGAGGAGTGGCCCCAACTTCGGTTTCCCTAGCATGTGTTGTTCCCGGCCACTGCATGCTGGTGGGAAGAACTCCAATGCTGTTGATTGTACTGAAATGTAACACGAGTCTATAAGCTTTGTGCCAACTGGACTACATGTTTACAGATCCTTGTGGAGAAGAGGGAGGCACTAGGAAAAACAAAGCCATCTGTCCTATGTTGTGTCTTCAGTAACCATTTGCCTGGACACTGTTTCTTAGAGTGTAACAACAGGATTGATTTTCTATGATTGAAGTAATATGATGTATCACCTAAAACGTGGAAAATGGGACTTCTCACGACCTCATCACTGTGACACAGCAATCATGAGAATGAAGAGACATAACAGACAACTCAGCAGAAACACATGCCCAACACAGCCCGGACAACACAGGACTGTGGCCTGTCACAGCCATTGGTCCACAGCAGTGCTGCACGCACCTCAGATGGCGACAGTCGGCACTGCTCACCACTTGCTAGACCTTTGTCCCACTCTTCACATTTGCTGACCCTGAATGCCAGGTGACAAAGCAGAAATACAAAGCTGTTGCCACCGGCGAACAGACACACATAAAGAAAACTGATCCAGGAAACTTGTCTTTATTTCTATCAGACTCAGACTTACTACCAGGACATGTTCAATTGTGCCTTGTACAATACAAATTGGACTGAAAGAAATAAGAATACATGCTTAGCAGGACCAAAATTAAAAGTCAGATGCTTTTTGGCATTAGCATTCCTTACCTTTGGCAGAAGTCCATCAGCACATCGACAAGAACTGTGCACGCTGTCTCCAGGTCTCCATCGCAGCCCCCTGCAGCAGCAGGCTTGGGGAGGAAATGCTCGTGGATCGCCCACTGGTGGAAGTCCCGCCTGCAACAGCAAACACCAAGGTCTATACCGAGAAAGACTATAAGCCAGGGGTTCCCGTGGCCGGGAAGTGAGCCCATAGCAATGGGCATGGCATCAGGGGGCCTGGGGCTGTGGGAAGGCCTTCTATCACCAATCAAGGCCCACTCGGGCCATCCTGCTGGGAGACTGCTGGCACATGGCTGCTGAGCTGGGGAGCAGAGTAGGCACCTGCACCTCGTTCAGGCTGAGCGGTCATCCCAGGATGCCCGTGAACTGCCTCCAGGTCCACCAGCAAAGGTGTCCAGACCTGGACTAGGCTCAGGTGCCCACAGGAGAGGTCTCAAGGACATATTAACTGAGAACCACAGCACAAAGAGCCACCAACACTGCAGTCTATTTATGTAGAAAGAACCAAACCCAACTAAGATGTTCCCATATCACCACGAGTGGGCAAGGAACCGAGGTGACAAGGGGGATGTCACTTCATCCACGCCGTGGCACACCTGCACAGAACATATTCGAGCGTTACTTGTGTCATTAAAAAAGGAAAGGAAGGAAATCCCAGAACAGATAGTGACGTGAGAGTAAGTTAAGAAATGGTCAAACCAGAAATTTAATTCCTTCTTTTTCTCCTGGAAAGAGAGGAGGGGAAGGGAAGGCAGGGACGAGGTCCCAGGATGTGTGAGCCTCTGAAGGAAGTACTCACAAAGCTGGCTTGGTGCAGACCTGAACAGTAAACAAACAGCTATTTTGTTGGAAAAAGCAGTTCATTGTTCTTTTCATCACCTCAACTTTTTCCTTTTCATATTATTTCTATTTGTTCCATCCAGAATCTGACACTATGATTACAAGCATGAGGAGACACACAACATTCCACATGTGAGGGAAGGGTCTCTGACCACACAAAGGACAGGGGCTCAAGGATGGCCGACATTGACCCTTGCCTTCAGCTGCCCCCCTGGGGCCCCTGTGTCCAACTCGGGTCTCTACAGCACATTTCCCTCCCTGACCTCCACCTGACCTCCACACCCCAAGCCTACAGCCCTATCAGCACCCTACTTGCATGCCCAGAACAGCACGTGCAGCCTCCCAGTGGTCTCCATAATTGGTCCTGGGACCCACATGGGCTCAGACATTGCTTCATCTGCTCCTGGTACCACCACTTCAAAGCCAGGGCTGCACATGGCACCTGCCCAGCCCTCAGCTGGCCACGTGTGGGAGACGGCAGCGGGCCAGCCGACACCAGCTAAAAACCCTCTCAGGCTCCCTGGCAGGATTCAGGACCCCACCACAGCCCCCAACCACGCACAGCTTTCTCTGCTCCTCTCCCACCTTGGGGATGTGCTTTGGCTGCTCCCCTTGCCCCCTCCCTGGGCACTCGCTCTCACAGCCCTGTCTGGTATCTTCAGAGCACTCGTCCCTCCCTCTAATCCATTCTAACTGCCCACACAGGTGTACAGTTCTATGCATATGGTTTCTTGGCAAGAGGGCCCAGTCAGGGGTGTCAGGGGCGGAAGTGAAAGTGGGGAGCCCTGTGTGCCTTGGCACCCCTATATGCACGTCTCATCACTCTGCATCCCCAGCTTCTAGAACATTCTAGAAGTGTCTGGCAAACAGTAGGAACTCAATGTTTCTTGAATACAGGAATGAATGAATGAAGTTGTGCTCACAGGTTATATGTTAAACTGAACATTAAATTGAGGATATAACGACAAAACTTCAACTTTAACTTTAAGACAATATAGAAAACCACATAACACTTTAAAGGGCAGATCCCTTTAAACACTTACCTTTCTGTATCTGAAAGAGAATCAACTTCAGGTTGAATTTCTAGTTCCAGCTGTAACCAGTTTCTGTAAGTTAACTGAGAGAAAAGGACCAATTGGATTCCACAGCGAGGATGGAGCCAGAAACCACAGGTTGGGTCTATAAAAGCACCATTTCCTCCCACCAGGAGAGACCTGTGCCCTGTGTTATGCTGACATCGCAGCCAAAAGAGGCTCACAGGAAGGCACCTGCGCTTATGTCAGAACAATCTCTGTTCTCACACCATTTCCCACTGTTAGACTGAGATGTTGGCACCAAGCCCTGATGAAGAACTGACATATTGCTTAATTTAACTCTGAATGTGAAGCTAACCAAAACTGTTCTAACTGGTACTTTTAAACTGAATTCTCCAGCATACTGCCTGGTTTTGAACAGTTAACCCATGGCATCTGCAAACCTGCTACAAACCTCTCAGGTTACTGCACAGCAGCACCAGGAAAGAAATCACTTCCTAGTTCACTTGAGTTGGGCAAATAACCATAGAATAAACTTGATATAGTAACATGCTTCAAATAGTCATGGTAGCATATTTCTTGTTTTGTTTTTTTTTTTGTTTGCAGAAGATTGGCCCTGAGCTAACATCTGTTGCCAGTCTTCCCCTTTTTGCTTGAGGAAGATTGGCCCTGTGCTAACATCTGTTCCCATCTTCCTCTATTTTGTATGTGGGTCATCGCCACAGCATGGCTTGATGAGTGGTGTAGGTCCACACCTGGGATCTGAACCCAAGAATCCCGGCCATCCAAGCGGAGCACGCGGAACTTAACCACTACGCCACTGGGCCGGCCCCGCACATTTCTGGTTTTACAATTCTTGGCCAATTCCATGCATCAACACAGACTAATCTCAAAACCTCACATTTGAATGTAAAAAAGCACATCACAGAAACACAAACACAGCATGCTTCCATTTTTGTAAAGGCCAAACCCAAGTGACATCCATGTGGTCAAACCAGGAGGAGCAAAGCCACGATCACCCAGAGATGGGACAGCGGCCCTCTGGGGTGCAGGTGAGGTACTGCCGGTGGGCACAGTTGTTTCTGCATCATTACTCCGTATGTTAAATACAGACTGTCTTTAACTGACACGTGTCGTTGTCAGTGGCATGGAGTGGATTCTGACTCCTAGCACCCCTGTGTACAGCAAAGTGGAACCCTGCCCGGTCTTTCACGCCATCCTCTCACCTTCTTGCGCTCTATCAGACAATGCTCCACTGCTATTCATGGGGTTTTCAGGGCCAGTTTTTTCAGAAGTGGGTGGCCAGGTCCTCCCCGTCCTAGTCTGTCTTAGTTTGGAAGCTCCACTGATGGGTGATCCTGCTGGTATTTGAAATACCAGTGGCAGGGCTTTCAGCATCACAGCCACATGCAGCCACCACAGTATGACAACCAATAAATGGGTGGTATGGTTTCCCTGATGGGAAACGAATTGGACCTTGGCAGTGAGAACAGCAAATCTTAACCACTAATAACTGATATACTTAACAACAAAAGAATTGAAATATATAATAAAACAGTTGAGAATTTTTTAATCTAAAGGCCAAAACAAGCAGGCAAACATCTAAGAAATAAATGAAAAGTTATGAAAATGTAGCAAAGACTAGGAACATAGGCATGTTGGCTGGAACAGGCCACGGCTCCCAGTGGCTGCGCTCGGAAAAGCCTAGCCCAAAATCGGAGCCTGGCAGATATGTTTAAAATACGTGTTTATTTACCCTTAAAATTTAACACAAAATGTTACTACTGGAAGAAACTGGGGAAAGATTATATAGGATCTTTCTGTCTCATTTCTTACAACTATGTGTGAACCTACAATGATCCCAATAACAATTTCAATCAAAGTCACATGTGTGCTGTTCCGGAATCACCAGCTCAGGCCCACCCGCCTGCCTACAACGTCCTCAGGAGCCCGAATCCACACCCCCAGACTCCTGTAAGCTAAGACGAGGTGAGAAGCAGGGAAGGGACGTGGGACCTACATGAAATTGTTCCTCCTTCAACAGCTCCTGGAAGGTTCTCTGTTTCCACAGATAGAGGGCAACTTGCTGCCAGTCTGCAGAGGGCAGGCACCAGGGCTTCGAGGGATGGCCAGCTGTGTCCTCCTGAGACAGAGGGTCCCGGGCTTCGGAGAACAATCTGAACACCATGAACTGAAACTGAAAGAGACAGTGATGTGTTTGCTGTAAGAGGTTGAGAAAATACGCAAGTGACCTGGCTACGCACAGCAGGGCAGCGTGGAGACCCTGCAGTGGCCTCACCAACCCCTTGTGGGGCCCCTGGGCACCCTGTGTTCACAGTTATAGACGGCATTTCAGTAAAGAGCCTGTACATAAATTTTGGCACATCTGATTATCTCCTTGGGCTAACTGCCTCGAAGCAGAATCACTGGGCCTAACTATCCTTCACAGGAAGGCACTGGTCTAGTCCTGCAGCAGCAAACAGCTGTCTTCCCAGACTTTTGCCAGAACTGGTGTTTTCACTAAAAAGTTTACCAACTGCATAAGCAAAACACATTCAAGCTGCAGGCTGCTCAAGGGGACGATGGAGGGGAGCACAGGGCACACCTGGCTCAGAACTAGAAAGTGGGATAGGGGACTTCCTTGCTTGGGTCACTCCTCCTAATCTTCATTCCATGCTTGAAAATTTGGGCACCTAGGACTAAGCTCCTCAATGCAAACGACTGCAGAGCACGTGTGTGCCTCGGACCCCAGGCTGCTCCCAATGCTGACTTAACTTGTCAGGCAGGGCCCTGGCGTGTACTTGCAAAAGGTTCTCAATTGATTCTAAAGGGGAACTTGGAACTGAGAACCAGGTTTCAACTTCACAAGAGTTGTTCCTTAAAACTCTGCAGAAGGAGTAATGCTTATTTACATGATAACTTCACCTTCACTTTTGACATTTAAGGTTTCTAACATGCATCATTACATTCCTCTGGTCTTCTAATAAATGTAACAAGCGTTCACTAGATGAGGGAAGTCTTTAGAGGAAATCCAGAATTCTTCTTTAAATGCAAAGATACTCTTTATGAATATGTACCTTCTAATTTCCCTGTTTTATAAATACCAGTATCTGTTTCTCCTAAAAAAAGGAGGGACATTTGTAGCTGTCATCTTACATTCCCTCATTTTAACTCAGAACAGAAGGAAAAAGCAGCATTCAGTCCAAGCAGATAGTTGAGGCAGCTCCCAAGAGACAAAGCCTGATGAATAATGGAGCACAAGGCTGCACACCGAGATAAAGGATGCTCAGACAGCAAAGACCTCAGACTTTCCTAATAGACCTACCTTTTTTATAAGGCCTGGAGATAAACAGCTGTACAAAACATCACGTGACTGGGAAGAAAATTTACACAAGGAGTAAGAAATTGCCGCTGTACAAAATCTGAAAATAGAAAATAGAAATTATAATGTAGAAATGTGATCCACGCAAAATGAGGGATGAAAGAAGTTTGAATTTCAAGAGTGAACTGAGTGGACTCTGCACCAGCCGGCCTGAGGGTCAGCCCTCAGCCTCAGCTTTGGGCGGGACCTGCTCCTCCGAGCTCTCAGGAAACAGCCCCATGCCACACCTGTCTGCTCTGAGCTCTGTCCATGCTGAAGGCAGAGACTTGGCAAACACATGAACATTCAGACTCTGTGCAAATAAGGGCTTCCTTTCACTGCTTGTGAAGAGCCACAGCCAGAACAAACGGAATAGTCAGGAGACGTGATGGGGAGTGTTACTCGTGTAATTATGTAAAAAGGGCTTTCATTCACCCGAGTGTTAGCAAATTATTCACTTTTCCTTCCTAAAAGGAGTCTGCAGAACCAGAGAGAGGCAAGCTCAATTTTAAACTCAGCCTGGGGCAGCCTTTGCCCGCTGTGGTCAACTGTGAGGTGTGGAGAAGAGGAGACCAGTGAGAACAGAGACCAACCAGGGCCCAAACAAGTTAGGAAGGTGGCGAGGAAGAAATGGGGGACCACGGTGCCTATAGGACTGACTCCCAACGGGACCTGTCAAGTGTTGCCAAAAGTCCAGGAGGGGCTGGACCATGCTGCCTCCCACTGTGGACAAATAGTGGGCAGTGGTCCAAGACAGACCTTTCTGTGTTCATCTCTCCCTGCTCCATTGCACTCTTTATGCCTTTTGTCAGTTCTGTCGATCAACTGCAACACCAGTCCCAGCCAACAACTCCCATGGGTGCCTCCTGGCTTCTGTTTGGACCCTCCCTCTACTCACCTCGGCAGCCACAGCAAGCCCTTCAGACCCAAGCCACACCTGGGCTCCCTAGGGCTATGCCCACTCAGCACACCGGGACACAGCCCTGCCCACCTCTCCCAGCACCTGCCACCTCATATGCTCCATGCTCGCTGTTGACTTACCTATTACCCCTGCACAGAAGGGCAGAGACAGTGCAGTAAGTGGACAGTGGGGGTGTAAAATGGCACAAACTTGTAGGATGACTGGTTTCAAAACCCTGTAAGATGACTTTATCTTTGGACAGGGCAGTTCCATGTGTAGGAATTTACCCTAGAGAAAGAGCTGCAGCACAGGGCTGCTCACCACAGGGAAACCCAGGAACCTAACTAGAGGGACGGGTCCAACCAACTGCTGGGCACCCCCAAGACAAAATGAAGCAGCTCCCACCATGACCCTAAAGAACGCTCAATGTTGTGGAAGGCTGTCTATGGTCTACTGTTAATGTCTTACAAGGCAGTTTGGTAAAGCAGTATGATCTCATTTTTATAAACAGAGAAACAAACACACATATAAATACACACAAAATAAGATTCTGGAAGGATATACATCAACATATTAATGAGTCATTATCTGTGGAGCATGTCTATTTTTGCTAATTGTATCTGATGAACACATGTTACTTTTGTCAAGAGAGAGAAGAGAGGTGACTGAGGGACGAAGAGGAAAGCTCACTTCAGGCACAAGAGCGAGGACTCCGCGGTCCCGCACGTCAGGAGGCTGTTGAAGAACTCGGGGATGGAGAGGCCCCTGGCGGGGGCAGGAGGGCCCATGTGCACCTCCGGGAGTGCAGATCTGGACTCGCCAAGGTGGACTGCCAGGGCGGCCAACCCCAGCACATGTGAGGCACTCAGGCTCGGGCCCTAAAATGAGAAAGAAAAGTGGTTCTGCAGGAGGGAAGGAGTCAGAGCTCACTTCCCAGCTGGAGGGAGGCGGCAGCCCTACCTGGCGACGGAGCAGCTGGCAGAGCCTGGTGAGCACGGCAGGGAGGAGAGTGCGTCCACACATGGTCATCACGAAGCGGGAAGCCCAGGGGCCCTGCCTGCAGAGACAGCCACAGAGACCAGCAAGAACGACCAGTTCTGGCCCTGCATGGCCCTTTCCTTGAGTCTGGTGGACATGCAGTCAGGCACAGGAGGCCTAAGAAAGAACCAGGCTGTTCCCCAAACAGCGAGGCCCCCTCATGTGGCGATACACAACTTCTGCGTGTCCCTGCTTGATAAAAGTCAGCACCACTCCTCCACCCGCCTGGGCCCCCTCAGCCAGTACAGCAGGAAGTCAGAGGGCAGGACCAGGGGTCAGAGCTGGACCAGGAACAGACAGCCACTCTCCTCATCATGGAACACAAGGAGAAGCTCCACTCCACGCTGGAGGCCCTCCCAGAGTACCTAGGCCACCCCGGGACAGCTCCAAACCACCCAGTGAAACTTCCCAGCCTCTACCTGTCCGGTGGGGCGAAGCTAGAGGCTGCCATTAGGTTCTGACAAAAAGACGTCAGCAGGAGATCCACGACCTGAGAGAGGAGAGATAGTCACTGAGAGTGCAGTGTCCCAGAGAGGGCAGCATGCACAGGCCTGATGCTGTACTGATGCTGTACTGTTCACATGCTGACGTGGGCAGGGCCACAGCTGAGCTAACCAGACTGCACAACTGGCTTACACTTCAAAAGGAAACTACAATGCACTTCAGTACAAACATCCCCCTTCCCATTTCTGGGAACAGCACAGGCCAAGTGTCCTCACGTGACCTCCACTCATGGAAATTTACAGCAGGGAGCCGGTCGGCCATCCTTGTCTACAAAGGGCCAAGGGGGCCACAAACAGTCTCTGCTGCATATTCTTCTTCAAAAACGTAAAAAGAGTTTGTACACAAACAGGCGGGGCCAGCCAACCCTGGGACAGAGGACTGCCCCGCTCCTGGATGTCCTGCTTCCCTCGCACAGTTTACCTAGCAGGGGCTAGGCATCTGATACTTTCTGCACAACCCAGCAACACTCGACACTTTGTACCTTTTCTAGGTGTCCCACCCTCACCTTCTGTTCCTGCTGCTCCAGTTCTGGAGCAAGGACACTGAGCTGAATCTTCGATGCCTCAAAGCTGCCACTGTCCTTGCTGAGGCCCAAGACAGAGCCGACCCTTTCAGAAATCACCGCAATCTGAGCAGACAGAACTGCAAATGGAGAAACCCAGTTAGATGAGCAGGGAAATGTGGTGTTAGCCACCTAGCGCCCAGCCCTCACAGCACCTCCAGGAGATGCTCCGGGGCAGGAGCACCAGGCTGGCTCTGGGTGAACAGGGGCTCACCACAGCAGCCCTGGCCACCACCACAGCCATCTCTTAGGTCCAACACTCTTCACTGACCCTGGGGTTGCCCACATCCACCAGCTGGGCAGCGAAAACCAGTTTTCCCATCCTGCAGGTGGCCGAGGTTAGACTGCTGACGAGCATGTGGCACGAGTGCATGTGACACGGAGAGCGGAGACAGATGCTGGCCTCTCCTTTTTCCTAGATATCTGATGGATTCCTTCACCATAACAAACCTCCACCATTTATTTATATTCCCTGTTCGAAATCACATGTCAACTCTCCCACACAGTGTTAACATCTGCCAGAGGCCCTACGTTCCAGCCACTGTCGGTCTGCCAACAGTGAAGAGCCACAGCCTCTGGGTGCCAGGGTTGGGCGACAAGCAGGCCGACCACGCCACTTGGAAACGGAACCTCTGCTGCTTTTAGAAACAAGGCTGACCTGACCTTTTATCAGTCTTGCCGAAGTACTGGGGTTCCAGCCAAGCCTCAAGGTCCCCAGATACCACACCCTGCAAGAGCACAGCTCTGAAAGGCCACACTCTCTATGCAATCACACACTCAGCCCTCAGAACCATCACGGCTGAGGTACTGCAGCCCCATCAGTGAGCAGTGGAACTAAAGTGGTTTTGTTAACATTCCCTCTGGGAGGCTTTCACGGGACATTCTGTCCTGGTTTAAATGAAATGAATTCATAATAAAGAAAAATCTATTACTGTTACTAGGTAAAAATACGGCTTATTTTAGACTCTGCATTTTTCCTAACAAAAATCTGAAAGTACTGAGACTTAGTATTTTATGGACCACTCTGCACCCCAATGTGCTCTGAACTATTCATGCTTAGTCCACAGACGAAGGCTCACAACTCACCATCCTGCAGTCACACAGAAACAGAGGCCCAGTGCTGAGTGTCACCATTACTCAGGCAGTTAGGGTAAGAAAGGAAACCCCACACCCTAGTAATGTCACTCAGCTTTCTTCCTCTCCATGCCTGTCCCACTGTGATGCCAAACAGCAGAATATTCATCTTCTACCAAGGGTTTGTGCCAACTTGAGTGACCAGTCTCCCATCCCATCTGAAATGAGGCCGCATCCTCAACACCTGCCAGCACCGTAGTCAGGCTTAACTACCAAACACTGAGTTGGTGGGAATACACACTGGCTACTATCCCTCCGGGGGAATGGGCCAGCCACTGAGCTCCGACCAAGGCCAGACACGCCTACTCAGCCCAGAAACACCCACTGCAGAGAGCCCTGGCTACTATCCCTCCGGGGGAATGGGCCAGCCACTGAGCTCCGACCAAGGCCAGACACGCCTACTCAGCCCAGAAACACCCACTGCAGAGAGCCCTGTCCTCACCGTCATACTGCACAGGGTCTGTCATTGCAGCCCTGAGTTCTCCCAGCGCAATGGTGAGCAGTTCCAAGGGTTCTTCCACACAGCCGGGTTCCACCTTCATTCCTGGGGCTGCATCTGAGAGAAGGGTGGTTAATTTTAACAATTAGGCCAAATAGGAAACACATACACCGCTGAATATGGAACTGCTTGTCTCTATGGTTTCTCTGTGTAGAGGGCAGACAAGGGCACTAGGACTGTACAAGGAGGGAAATGAAATCCTCTCCCCTGATGCTGGATACTAACTGTCCCATCAAAAATTAAAACGTTTATAAACAAGCTTAAGAAAAAATGTGGTTCTATGCACACCATTGCTACAAGCATGAAAAGCATGTAGATAATGAACAAAGACCAGAAGCATAATAAGGGAGGCTGGGTGGGGAGAGCAGAACTATGAACGGATGATGATTTATTCCCAGTTTCTCAAACTTTTAAGTAACATTGTTATAAAAATAAAACATAAAGAAAAAAGACTGAGAATGAGTATAACAGACAATTGCCAGTTCTCAACACACATTTAACACTCACTAAAAAAGACTAGATATAATCACACATTTGCAAAAGAAAGATATTTGTTCAAACACACCATTTTCATTATAATAAGGAAGACACACCACACACGTTTTAAACGCAAAACAAATTCCAGTTCTGGTGTCATGGGAGAAGACACCAGGTGTATGCAGCAAGCTCACAGTATCCCCAAAATGAGACTAGAAATCACAGAACCTAAGGCCTCTGTTTATAAGCCCTATCAGATGAAGCACCAGAAAATATTCTAGAAGCCCCCAAAAGTAGGACCACGGGGTTGGGTAAGGAGGAGCAAGGCCTCCTCGGCACCTCCAGCACAACCGCAAGCTGTTTCAACACTGGTCCAGACAAGTGTGAGACCTGGGCCCTCATGCTTTACCCATTCAAGTTTTCTGAGTCCCCAAGGCTGTCAGGAGTTATCCAAGCTTGTAGACAGGAGGAGTTTTGGCAGACAGAACTAGAAAACACAACAGCAGTCAGCTGAAATAGCCTCCTTCAGACTAGCTGGCCCTGCAGATGTCACAGGATTTAAACCAGCAAACAGGAGCACTGCACCAACAGCGCTGCTCCTGCCACTCATCCAGGGACACTGCTGAGAAATCAGGCCCTCTCCCTGTCGCCTTGTTAGCGGGGAGAATGTCGGGGGCGGGGGGGCAGCAGCTGCTCCCAGCACTGCCACCTCACTGATGCATGCTCCCTCAGACACGACCCAGGTCTCCATCACTGCCCTGATAAGCAGAACCCACTACAGAAGAACTCAAGCATCCAAACAGTCAGAAAGCTGCCACAGACCATCCACTACGACATGCTTCAGAACCAACACTATGGTCTTGAGGCTGGCTGCTGAGTAGGAGAGGTCACCTGAATTTAAAGCTCGAATTCAAGACAGGCAAACAGAAACCGCATCACAACCTCAGGGTGCCACATAAAGGTGACAAACAGTAAAGTAGATTTTGTCCTGCATGCAGTACTTCAGGGAAGTGCTCTGTCAGGTGAGTTTTCAGGCCCTCCAGGCTAAGAGTCTGTGAGCTGACATGTCACACGTGGCCCTCCTGGTGCCAACACTGGTGCCAGTACCGGGCAGTCTCTGAACCCACAGCTCTGGCCGGATCCAGCATGACCCAACCAGACCAGCACTGACAGGCATCACGGACACATCTTGTGATCGGAGAAGTGGAGAGTGCACATCTCATGACTCAGTGACCATTACCCATACCTTCTGGCTTCTCCCTTTCGGCAGCGGAGCAGGCTTGGCGGTAAGTGGAGTACAGAGATGGGGGAATTTTATCTGCTCTGGATCAGAAGAAAATATGAAAATTAAGTCAACTATGACTCTAATTCTCAAGCTTACAATTCCAAAAACTATCATAAAACAAAAATATGTGACATAGTAAATCTGAATAAATTATACAACACTGTATACAGTATGACCATGGTTTTAGAAAAAAGTTATATATATATGGATTTAAACGGTCCATAGTGTTTCATAGTGTGTCATATACACACATCTGCCAACAGTGATTTTCACTGGGTAGAAAGATTATAAATGATTTTTACTTCTCTCATTTAAATTTCGGTAATTTTCAAATTTTAAAAGTGAGCTTATTTTAATTTTAATGAATAATACTCAGAAAAATACCCAATTAATGTCATTAAAAATACACAGAATTATAGAATGAAGTCCTGTGATAAGGACATGGGGCGTTTGCAGGGCACAGATCCCCAGCTGGCACTTTCTCAAGGCACAGTGACAAGTCCAAGGACAAGACCATGGAGTCACCTTCAGAGGAACAGGAGCCATGAGCAGCAGCCTAGGCACGGCCTGCAGGACATGAAGCCTCTGCGTGAGCAGTGAGGCGGGAGGGCACCCACCCGACGGTGCTGCAAACTGTGATGACAACACAAACAGAAGAACAAGACACAGCTGCACTCCAGACTGAGCCTCACTACGGGGAGCGAAGTGAGGCAGGGACCGTGGCCTGGAGACTAGGAATTGAGGAGAACTACCTATTGCCCTGGGGACTGGAAAGCCTTTAGCTTAAGAAATAGAAACCAATGCAAATAAAAACAAAGAACAAATTCAAGGAAATGGAGAAATTCACACAAAAGAAAACTTCAGACATCACTATTATTAACATCCGCAGAGAGGCCAGACAAAACACTGCAGGTAGGAAATAAGAATAGATTGCCATAAAAAGGAACATCTGATGGCAGAAACATAACATTCAGTGAAAGGATGGGCAGGTAAACTTGAAATCTTCCAGAGGAGAGAAAAAACCAGATATGCGAAATACAACAGAAGAAGAAGAGAAAAATCAGAAGACAATCCCGGGGGCCTAACATCTGCAATACAGGAGTTCCAAGAAGAAGAACATAGTGGTGGGGCTGGCCCGGTGGTGCAGGCGGTTAAGTGCACGCACTACACTACGGCGGCCGGGGGTTCGCCGGTTCGGATCCTGGGCACGCACCGACACACCGCTTGGCAGGCCATACTGAGGCAGCATCCCATATAAAGTGGAGGAAGATGGGCACGGATGTTAGCCCAGGGCCAGTCTTCCTTAGCAAAAAAAGAGGAGGATTGGCAGATGTTAGCACAGGGCTGATCTTCCTCAAAAAAAAAAAAAAAAAAAAGAACACAGTGGGAAAGAGATCTGCAATGACATAAGCCAGGATGAAATAATCAGTGTCTGGGATTTGCTTCAAAACAATCCAGAATAGCGAGTAGATGAGTGGGTGGGTGAATTTGGGGCTACAGATGAAACAAGATTGGCCATTGTGGGGCCGCTCAGTGGTGCAAGTGGTTCAGTGCATGCCCTCCGCTTCAGCAGCCCAGGGTTTGCAGGTTCGGATCCCAGACATGTACTGATGCACTGCTTGTCAAGCCATGCTGTGGTAGCGTCCCACATAAAGTAGAGGAAGATGGGCACAGATGTTAGCTCAGGGCCAATCTTCCTCAGCAAAAAAAGAGGAGGATTGGCATCGGATGCCAGCTCAGGGCTGATCATCCTCACAGAAGAAAAAAAAAAAAGATTGGCCATTGTTGGTAACTATTAAAGCTCGGTGGTAGATACGATTCTCTCTACCTTTCTGTCTTAGATTTTTCAAAACATAAGGTTTTAAAATATCTGAGAAAATTTCTTAGTACTGAAGGACATGAATTTCCAGATTTAAAGGCTCACTATGTGCCCAGCCAAGAAATGACATTAGACCCACACCAAAACACATCACTGTAAAATGTCAGAACACAGGGAACAAAGAAGACACCACAAGCCTCCAGAGAGAAAACACAGGCCACATGCAAAGAATCAGAAATTATAACAGTTTCTAACATCCCAACAGCAACAGTGGAAGCTAGAAATCAATGGAGCAATACTTTCAAAAACTAAACTGGAGGTAAAAAAATGTCTAAGAGTGATGTCAGCATCATGGTGGAGTGACCTTTCCCCCTTAGACTCTCCCCGACTAAGATACAACAAAAAGGACACTCACACACCAACAGAGGACGTTCACACAACACCAAAGACGTCTGAGAGACCCACACAGCCTTTCATCTGAAGGTAGAGGTGCTGGACCCCCTGGAGGATGTATAAGGAGGTAAGGAGAACTCCTCTCGTTCCCCAACAACAGCGACCCTGGGACCAGGACCATGTGGCTCTCTGGGGGTTGCGGGGGGCGGCAGTGGCGAGGGGCAGCCCTCCTTGGGAAAACCGTCGCTCTCCAAGTTTTCTCACAGCCTGTGGGAAAGTCCCATATGGAGGGGACTGAACTGTTGCAAGTGTCTTCATCAAGCTAGAAGCGAGGGAAGAACAAGAAGCCCCTGGGATCAGGCAGGCAAAAGACAAAGCCCCTCACCTCCGGGACTAAGCGGCCCTCAGAGACACAGTGGGGAGGGGCAGCCCTCCACACGAAAATAGTTGCTCTCCAAGTTTTCTCACAACCTGTGGGAAATTCCCATACAGAGGGGACTGAACTGCTGGGGGCGTGCCTTCATCAAGGGAGCACCCCAGGAGAAATAAAAACGACACCTAACAGAATTAGAAAAAGAAAAACAAACAAAGCCCAACGTCAGCAGAAGGAGGGAAATAACAAAAATCAGAGCAGAAATAAACGAAATCGAAACCCAAAAACCGTAGAAAGGAACAATGAAACAAAGAGCTGGTTCTTTGAGAAGATAAACAAAATTGACAAACCCTTAGCCAGACTCACCAAGAAAAAAAGAGAGAAGGTTCAAATAAATAAAATTAGAAATGAAAGAGAAATTACAACAGATACCACAGAAATACAAAGGATTATGAGAGAATACTATGAAAAACTATATGCCAACAAATTGGACAACGAGAAGAAATGGATAAATTCTTAGACTCATACAACCTCCCAAAACTGAATCAAGAAGAAATAGGGAATCTGAATAGACCAATCACAAGTAAAGCAATTGAAACAGTAATCAAACACCTCCCAAAAAATAAAACTCCAGGACCAGACAGCTACTCTGGAGACTTCTACCAAACATTCAAAGAAAATTTAATACCTATCCTTCTCAAACTATTCCAAAAAATAGAGGAAGATGGAACACTTCCCAACACATTCTACGAGGCCAACATCACCCTGATACCAAAGCCAGACAAGAACAATACAAAGAAGGAAAATTATAGGCCAATATCGCTAATGAACATAGATGCAAAAATCCTCAACAAAATATCAAACCGAATACAGCAATACATTAAAAAGATCATACACTATGATCAAGAGGGATTTATACCTGGGACACAGGGATGGTTCAGCATCTGCAAATCAATCAATGTGATACACCACATTAACAGAATGAGGAATAAAAACCACATGATCATCTCTAGATGCAGAGAAAGCATTTGATAAGATCCAACGTCCATTTATGATAAAAACTCTCAACAAAATGGGTATAAAAGGAAAGTACCTCAACATAATAAAGGCCATCTATGACAAATCCACAGCCAACATCATACTCAATGGGGAAAAACTGAAAGCCATCCTTCTGAGAACAGGAACAAGACAAGGGTGCCCACTCTCGCCACTCTTATTCAACATAGTACTGGAGATTTTGGCCAGAGCAATCAGGCAAGAAAAAGGAATGAAAGGAATCCACACAGGCAATGAAGAAGTGAAACTCTCACTGATGCAGACAACACGATTTTATATATAGAAACCCTAAAGAATCCATCGGAAAACTATTAGAAATAATCAACAACCCACGGCAAAGTTGCAGCATACAAAATCGACTTAGAAAAATCAATTGCATTTCTATACTCTAATAATGAACTAAGAGAAAGAGAACTCAAGAAGACAATCCCATTTATAATCACAACAAGAAGAATAAAATATCTAGGAATAAATTTAACCAAAGAGGTGAAAGACCTATACAATGAAAACTATAAGACATTATTGAAAGAAATCAATGATGACATAAAGAAACGGAAACATATCTCATGCACATGGATTGGAAGAATAAACAGTTAAAATGTCCATACTACCTAAAGCAATCTACAGATTCAATGCAATCCCAATCAGAATCCCAATGACATTCTTCACGCAAATAGAACAAAGAATACTAAAATGCATATGGGGCAACAAAAGACCCTGAATAGCTAAAGTAATCCTGAGAAAAAACAACATAGCTGGAGGCATCACAATCCCTGACTTCAAAATATACTACAAAGCTATAATAATTAAAACAGCGTGGTACTGGTACAAAAACAAACACACAGATCAATGGAACAGAACTGAAAGCCCAGAAATAAAACCTCACATCAACCGATAGCTAATCTTTGACAAAGGAGCTAAGAACATACAGTGGAACAAGGAAAGTCTCTTCAATAAATGGTGCTGGGAAAACTGGACAGCCATGTGCAAAAGAACGAAAGTAGAGTATTTTCTTTCACCATACACAAAAATTAACTCAAAATGGATCAAAGACTTGAAGGTTAAGACCTGGAACTATAAAACTTCTGGAAGAAAACACAGGCAGTACACTCTCTGACATTGGTCATAGAGGGATCTTTTCGAATTCCATGTCTACTCGGACAAAGGAAACAAAAGAAAAAATAAACAAGTGGGACTTCATCAGACTAAAGAGCTTCTGCAAGGCTCTTTAAACCAGGATCAAAATGAAAAGACAACCCACCAGCTACGAGAAAATATTTGCAAATCATATATCTGACAAGGGGCTAATCTCCATAATATATAAAGAATTCACACAACTCAAAACCAAAAAACAAACAACCCAATCAAAATATGGGCAGAGGATATGAATAGACATT